GTAAATGTCATCTTTACGTTGGCCTACGGAACATAGAAATAGATCTCTATGGAAATTGAAATGCCATGTTTAGTTGTAACATTTCAATCGGTCATCCTGATAAGATGTCCACAATGCCAGTGTTCGAGGTTCTTCTTCATTTCTGACTGACGTAACAAATGCTTCCCCGTGTCATCATCCTTTTTCTTTATGCAGTTCTCATCAGAATTCTTTTGAATGCTTGGTTGCCATGGTACCCTGAGAATGTTCTGCTGCGATCTTCACTCAGATACCATTCTGGGAGGCTCATTTTTCTTTAAGAAGAAAAAAAAATGTGTATATGCAGCAAAGTCAAAGCATTTCATAAACTTTGCTATGGTAGTATGTATATCAAAACGATACGCAATAAGAATATATCATTTTATGCATAAATATAAAAATATGGTGTTTTTAGTAGAATACTTATCATTATACAAAACTTACAAAACACTCAGCTTTGTACTCAAAATAAAGTGATATATATGTGACCAATATCCATATTGCTGGCATATGATAGGTCTGATTTCCTGGAACGCATAAAAAGGACAGAACAGCACTAGTAAAGTCTATCGAATACTGTAGAAAGTCAAGTCCAGTGGACCTTACTGTCATGCCAGCCATACACAAGTATGCAGAGGTGCCAGACCTCCTTCCCCCAGGACCACGGCATAACATAAGACACATGGGGGGCTGAATGTACACAATTACAGTGGTAAAGTGCAGGTTAAGTACACAAGTGCAAATGTCGGGGTTGAATATGGACCACACACCATGCACATGACACAGTAGGAGAGCAGACACACAGTATATACATGAATCGACTATCTATACATAACATAGCAGTAGGAATGTAGCAGCAGAATATAAATATGGTATATAAAATATGTAACAAACAGAATCAGTGTATCTGTACATAGTGAATATAACCTTTCTGAACTTAATTACAGTATGTAAACTATGCAACATAAATAGAGATGTGGTATGTAAGCTACTTTTATGTAATATAGTATGGTATAGTATGGTACAGTATAGTAGAGTAGTAGGTAATGTAGCAGCAGATAAAAAGTGCAAACGTGCCAGTTAATGTTAAAATAGCTGTGGACTGAAGATTTGGTACTGCTCGCTTGGTGAGGAACTGAAAGTTGTGGAAACTATTTATTTCTAATAAATATTTAACAATACTAATGTCCGAATCATCTGGATCAGAGAGCATGCACACACACTGATCAAAGTTAAAAGAATGCTCTTTGATACTGTAACATGTTATGCTAGAATTTAATTATCCCAGAAGAAATCAGTGCTGACTGTTGGTTTTGTTTTTAAGGGGAAGCTGTTCAAAAAAGGTAAATACATATATTGGTCAACATGGAAATAAGATTATTAATCCCATGTGAATTTTTTTAATACTGTTCTAAGTAAAAAAAATTAGACACCTCCCATGCCTATCAGAACTGTAACATTGTTTTTAAAGAGTGTTTGGGAAAAAAATGTATTCTCTGTGAAACTGCTTTCCAAAATAAGATTCTGCTGAGTGCACCCCCCCTCCCCACCACCACCCAGAACAGTAGAAAACAAATGTTGACAGTGCTTTCATATTACAGACATTTCAGTTGCACAGGGTTCTAGCTGCTACCTAGCTAGCTCGCTTCAATTTCACAAGAAAAAAAATAATGTTAAAACTAGTACAAATAACTGTATTGTCATGGAATGCAGCCAGTATTCTCACTTTTTTCACTCACTCTGGTGCGCCCCCTAATGGAATGGCACCCTAGCCAATCACCTATCTCGCCTATAGGGCGGGCCGACCCCAAGTATGTATCGCTGCAGGAAGGAGCCGAGTGTCCAGTGGGAGGGGTTTATAATGCAGGTTAGGGTATCAGATGATAAGTTATAAACCCCTCCCACACTGTGCCTTGTGGCATGACCTCTCACTAGGCTGGGGATCTGAAGATACACGCACACCTAACCACACAAGAGGGACATCAAGCAGTTGGGGTAAAGTGGAGCAGAATAACACTCGGACAGCTGTCAGTACTGTGCCGAATGCAACCGGGCGAGGCTCGATACTGAATGAAGGAAAAAAAAATCATAATTCATATTTTACCCAGAATCGTGCCGCCCTACAAGCTCTTCCAAACAAGGGATGGGAGATACACGGTTTTGAGGGACACTTCTGACATCCAATGGCGATACAAGATAAATAAATTACTTCGTCAAACATTTTTCCATTGGTCAGTTAAATGTCAAATGCTATTAGTACAGAGGCCGAAGGGCATATTACACCAGTAGTAAAAAGTCAGAAAATGAATTTCATTTGGTTTTCATTGGGCAGCGGTGATATGTGGCATGGAATCTGTTTCTCTCTCGCTTAGGACCAAGGCAGGACATCATATCATGAAGAAAACAATTACTTCTGCAGTAATGCTCCTTTAGAGCTCAAACCATTTACATAATCAGGACTTGGACTATATAGTGCCCATAATTTATTATCAGATTGAGATAATTCAAAAAAGCATATTGTTAGAATGCATCTCTTGTTCCTTTTTAAATTATTTTCATGATTTTATAGCTGTATTTTGTCTTCCTATTGTCTCTTTCATTTGTGGAGCTAGACTTAAAGTCTGTGAGAATTGGATGAGATTCTATGAGTTGTGTATTACAGCAACTTGTGTATTGGACACATCTGTTACCCCTTTTAAGGACTTTATTCATGATTTATGTGAGGGATAGACCACAAAGAGGGGCGTTATTAAACAAAAATAGTCAACGACAACTTGGTGTAATACACTTTGGAGTTGATTGTTATCCTATTACTGCAGACCTCGAAGTGGTTTATCCCACTTAAACCATAGCTAGCAAGCAACAAAATAATAGAATAAACCAGCCATTTTTCATAATAAAAATATTGTAATTATCAGCTAATAATGTGCTCGTAAAAATATAGTCCCTATAAGGATAGAACGTCTGGGTCATGCTGCTTGCCTGGAGGTGGCAAGCCCTGTACGTTACCATAGAAACCATCAACACACAGGTGCTTCTGAAAACCAAGGAATCTTATGTTAATAAGAATGACTGCTTATTTATGAGTAAAAAGTCACACAGGTTTTTATATTGAGATGTTTAACGAATCATTAAGGTGGATTAATATAGAACTGTTATTAGGCTGCCGGAACTACCCTATCAACACCCATGTGACATCACTGGACCAATAAGAAAACAGTATTTACCAAAGTAGTGGTATAATTATATTTAATATGCATTGCAGATCATGGGTGAGTTTCCCAAAGCTGTCTTAATGCTATGTCGTTCGTAAGTTATGTGTCGATTTTTAAACATCCAAAAGGCTCAACTCAAGAAGTTGAGAGATCTTTAACTTCTCAAACAAAAATGGATGTAAGAGCCATTTGTGGCTGTTTTGGAGAGGGTAATGGTGGGGCCAAGGCTCTGTACTCGCCTGTAGTCGGTTAGTAGTAGCCTATATTCGCTGGGTGTTTTACAGCAAGGGCCTAGATTTGGTTTTAACATAGGTAGGGACCAAATGTGCCTTGAACGCCTTCATCCCCATAAATACACCATCCTCTACGCCCTTGTGTAAGAGACAGGGAGAGAGGTGCAATGGTGCTTATCTAGCGGTGTTCTGTATTTATTCTATAATGGATTTTTATATGTGTACTTGCGAATGTACATTATAAGGTCCAAAAATGTTTAATTATAAATCTACATTAATTTTTTATAAATGAACATATAGTGCTAATGGTAAAAGCCATTGTGTGTTTATTAATACCTGTTAGTTTAGACCGCAGACAACAGACAAGCTCACAATAGGCCTAGTTTTGTTAAGCTTAAATTGTTGTAAGCACTTTTTAAAGAACAACAATGTTAACAGACTATATGATATTACAGAAGCATCAACCTCACAAACTGTATTCTGTTTTTTCCAGAATAAGGGCAAGCACGTCCAAATGCAGCAGAATCTTAAGTGTTCCTAACCTAATAAATACTAAATTAGCTTGGAACCAGTACGCGTTTTACTTGGCGTTACCTCGGTGCACGAAATTGGTGGGAATTCGTGTCGAATATTTCACGTGCAGCTGAGCTACAGAGATAATTAGTTAACTGTAGCACAACATTGCTGCTATATTTGGAGAAATTAAGCCACAAAAAAATCTAAAGCGCGATCCTAAAAATGAGCAACTGCTAGTCTCCTCCAGTATAGTGCCTGTCGTAGGCGTCTGTTGCAACGTAAACTGGTATTCAAGGGACTACCTTTCTATTTTCTGTTTACCCATTCTGTTTATCATCTAACCAGCTTTTTGGGTGCAGGCAATGATTTACTGTGCATGGAACTCGTGACTATACTTTTAATATATGTAGGACATACTCAAAGCAGAGTAAACGAATGGGCTATTTTTAGTTTTTAACCATTGTATTATTGAGAGTTATCCAGGAGGGACCTTGAATATGCGTTGTAGGAATACATTGATTTCCGATATGCAAAACTCCAGAATGCGGTTCAGCTACAAGAAACAACCCCGCGGCATCCGATTCCAGATCGGGGGAGGAGTCTTATTTTATCCGGTCCCCCCTGATGGCTACCTAACCAATACTACCCAGCAAAAATAATCCTAATGTGTCTTCATCACTGATATATTTAACAGGAATAGCTGCTGGAACCGACTTTTATTCTAGGAAGAAACGAAAGATCAAAAGGAGTGATTGGAAGCTGTAAAATAGACACAAGTCCTGAAAAGCGGCATGTCTTAAACTCCATCCATCACACGTCATCCATACTTCTTGTAGTGAATTCTGATTCATTTTTTTCTAATTCCGTGTATTAGACACTTACTCAGCTGCTATGTACCCTTTATTAATTGAAATACTTAACAAACTCTCTGACATGAAAATAAAAATATTCTGACACAGCATCCATGTTACTGCAGGAACTGGAAAGTGGGCGCAGTCGCGGTTATTAAAAACGAAGCTGTGTTGCACAAATGCACGCATGCATGTACGTGTCTCTGAAATATGTGCACAGAGAAAAGGCCTTTGCGTAGGTGGGATTCCTTATTTCCTTAAGCGAAGTGGAAAACTGAGACAATGAAACCGGATGATGCGAGACCTATTTGCCAGTGTGTTATAGTGAAAGATTTCTTAAATTAAGCAGATAGTATTTCAGTATTCTAACACAATCGTGCCGCTTTTAAGGCATATACTGTTTGCTGGAAGGAAGCTCAGTATACTTATTTATGTTTGAAAATCAAATTTAATACTCATGTTTAGTGAAATGATTGCAAGAATGTGCAGATAGTCCGAAGGACACCGAGCTGAACGGCATCTACCCTAATCACTTATATAGCCGCAGTTGCAATACAGCATTAGAAATACATCGCCAGGACCATTTGAGCCGGGGGGTCTTGTGGTCTTTGTTCGGAAGCTGCGTGCAAGAAGGACGACCTGGCTGGATCTACAGTTTTACGTTTGGTTTATTGTGGATTTGGTTTTGCATATTTTGCTTTATTTTTTGCCGCTACAAACAAGATCAAACGGGAATTGGTACAAACAGGAATTAAGGTGCGGTTTTCGTGTGAAAGGGGTGCAGGTAACGAGGAAGGTTGGTCGTGTATTTTGGCTTCGGATTCAAAAATGATGATTTACGTTCTGCTTTATCTGATGGAATTGACTGCAAATTATATCATTTAAGGACGATCGAATGCCCTATTTTTCTGCATTCACATATAGCCACTAGGGTCCTCACTGGATCTTGCTCTGAGACAATAACTGTATTGGGAGACTTTTGGAAAAATATCTATGTGGAGACAGTACTGCGCCTCAACATTCCTGGAAAATTAACGACACTGCATACAGGTAAAAATATATGCCGTCTGAAATAATATAGATACTGAAAGTAAACGGGTAATAGGCTGCTTACATTTTATGCTATTTTTTCCAAAAAAATCCCACATGTATAATCAAACCGTGTATTGACAGCGTATAACGGACCTAATTGACACTGCGTATAATGCCTTTGTAAAACTGACAAGATCCGCTTTGGTTTAAACGGCGTTTGTAAAAATCTGAAGTGCAGAATTTTACAAGAAGTGCAGCAGACATCACCCGCCTTTGCAGTAAATGAGATACGGACGATAAGGCCATTATTCCAGTCTTCAGCCTCAATTTTAATTTCTGGAATATCGCATCATTCTGGCACGTACATTACGGTTGTTTTGCAGATTGGGATTGACTTATAAAAACAAATGTATCAAATATCATGTAAAGCGCCTATGATTCTACTCGACCTTCCACTGGGCTGTTTATGTAAGAACGAAAGGACGAAAACTTAAGACGCTTTACATTTAACGACTTAAACGCGCACAGAATTATCTTAAATTTGAAGGTCCTTCGTCCAACAAGAACCTTCATCTGACAAACATTTCTTTGTCGATTTTAAGAAATTAGGAGAAGCCAGCCAGCTGATAAATAAAATCCACTTGTCACATACGGATTTTTGGGCCGTGCGGCATAATTGTTAAGATTAAGAGGGAGGTTGTATATCTATATATATACACACACACATTTGTGTTTTCTTAGAGTAAACCTCAAAGTATGCCTCTCTGTCTGATTTTACGATCATCTACGTAGCCGTGGACATGGTTAATAAAAAGCTTGTTTTTTCGAAGGTCGTCCATATTCTTTCTATGTGTAGCATATCAAGAGTTAATAATTTTAAAATTTTGGGTTTCACAAGTAGGTTGTTGGAAGATAGTGTGCTTAATGGTGACAGTGACAATGGTTTGTACTGTAGCAGCGTCCGTGAACAAGTGCTGCTGTATTGCTGTTTGTCCGCGAGGGTGTGTCCGCAGCTGCTAACGGCTCTGCTTTCCGCTGTCGGGATGCCCTTGATAAATCGGCAGCAATAATGAAAATGTGCAATAATGATCCTACTTCGACGGTCACTGGGGTCTGGTGACAAATAACATCGGCATTAATAAAATGTAGTTAATGTTAGCAATTCGTGCTTGCCGGCAGCATAATCCGGTGTTTAGTGCAACATACCCACACTCACTGTCTCTTCAGGGATCGAACTAAATGTGCTATGCTTTTTAAATCTCTCTTAGCCCTGGAGGCTAATAACAATCCACATATTGTCCAAAACGTAGATCTACTGCATGAAAAACAGAAAAATCACAATAGTCGTGCACGTGAGGGTGCCGTTTCACCCCGGACCAAAAAAAAAACCTAGCATTCATTGATCTGGCAGCATTTAACTGTAGGGGGCAGTGTAATATTTTCAGGTTAAATGAATAATACCAATATATTGCCTGTATTTCAAAAATAAATTAGCTGTGTTGTATGCCTTAGTTAATTTCATAAATATAAATAGGAGTTGGCTGGGAGGCCACTGAAATTGCTTGCAGACAAGCTTGCTGTGTTTAGGTTTTAGGTGTTTGAAGCAAGCCTGATTTGGACAAGCTATACCAACCCAAATCCTGAGTGATCCTGGATGAAAATAATTCTGAATAGGTTCTAAAAGCTCACTATGCCATGTTACAAACTACAGCAACATCAAGGGTTCTACAAGCCTTTCTTACCTTGGTATTGGGAAGTTTTAGAACGATACTACCCTGATGTTGGCTGACAATGTCCCTGCTCTGTCTAGCAAAATCCAAACACTCTGTTCCACATTAAGAACCTCATACATGTGGTTAAGTGTGCTGGAGATAGTGCTTCTCATTTTGTGAATGTTTGTTGTATTACAAACTGAATGATTTTTTTTATCATTGAAGGTACCAGGAATTCTGTTCCCAAACAAGAATTTCAGGAGTACGTCAGACCATAATTTCATGCGGTGAATCAACACAATTGCCCAAATTACCCTTCAAGTGTAGAACAATATAATGAAAAAACAAGAAAATGAACATTTTATTACTTTTTTTTTTTTTTTAAATCTTCGCTGTGAGTAAGGCTTTGCCAGCTCATTGCTTGTGATTGCACAACATTCATAACTAACTCATGTTTTACTCTCGTTTTTGAAAAGATTGCTTGGTTATTTCATGGAATTTACACTTTTTTATCAATGGATCTTTACACAGTTGTGTTGTGGGAGTTTGGATAATGTTAGATCTGAAATCCGGTTAAAATCCCAGGCTAAGTAATTAACCAATACTTATGAGGGGTTGGGGATAACATTTGAAGATTATCAAGGTTGAAATAAATATCAGACATTCAATGCCCTCTGTTCAACACAGTACAATTTGGATATTCATAATCAGCACATTCTTCATAACTACACTGACAATCTTTTTGTCTGTTTCTCCTCTGTAATGTGACATGTCTAGCAGCCATAATTTGCCTTCTGTTAAAAACGTCCAACACATTTCTTGACTAAGGAGTTTGCTAGGTTTCTTTGGGAATAAACAATCATTTGACTTTGAAAATGTCCATAGTTTGAAATTTCTGATAAATTATGAAGCCAAAACTTATGATGAAAACTTGTGGGTAGTTATACCATTTCCTCATGTTCTTGTGTCAAATGTTTGAACTTGGAACCAAAAACATCTTTATGCTGGATGTTTTGCTTTTTTCCGGCAAAGCCAAGTCATTAAAATTACCCTACCAATTTCAGCATGCCATCCTATACCCTTAGACCCTATACCATCCTCCATCCTAAAAAATGAGTCCATTTGCCCGTGTTGCTGTGTTAGACCCAGGCACCCCAGCCTCTCAGATAGCGTTTCCTCCTGCAGTCCACCGGCATCTATTGAGGCTAATTGCTGATAGTTTATGACTGTGTTTAGCATGAGGCTGTGCATGTATAACCCTGTGATGCATTCTTGGCTCAAGGAGTAATTTCTAAAAGAACGCTATTCAGGTATTTTATATAACTGGGAGGGGGCACACAATACTGTTTGCCTAACGGGGGTGGTGGGGGTGGTGGATGAATGGCAAATTTTATTAGCATTCCGCTCTGCTAGTTTTGTCAGGGTACACCGTCTAACTGCAATACCAACCAAGCCAAATGCATTCCCCCCTGATGTTTGCCAGCCTTGTGCTGCTTTCGGCTTGAGATGGTGACGCGGAACAGGATTGGTAATTAGGTCTCACCCATCAATCTTCTATCTTCAGAAATATTTGCAATATGCTTCTAATTTGTTTTCAAGTGATCAGCATTTTGCCGCAATCTGGCCATCCACAGAAGTTGGTTCGTTTTACCTTATTTTATTACAAAGACAGCTAGGTTAGTTATTAATCAGTTTCTCCATTTACATCTCTTAATGCAGACTCATTAGAGTTGACACGTGGTATTTGTTTTCTGTTTCCAGAGTGGGCTACTTGAGTCACATGACTTGACTTGAGTCAGTCTCGAGTCTGAGTTTTTTTTTGCTTTCCAGTTTATGAAAAAGACTCGTCTTAGACTTGGGCATTGTTGACTTAACTTAGATTTGTTATAAATTGTAAATTCGCATATTCTATCACTGCAGTTAATATTAGTTTCTACCTTGGTTTCTCCTCTGTTGTCACCGGGTCCACAGTTGTGTTTCTGACTTCTTTAGAGAACCTCAAAAATGGCATGCCGCGTGCGCCCATAAATGACAGAAGCCACAACACGCCCACAAGACAGGCAACAAGTAATTGTGGTGAGCGCAGATCAGTGTGTTAGCATGAAGTATCCATGACAATAACTTCAAATTTAATTTGACATCTCAAGACCCATAAACACAAGTTGGCAAATAACTTATTGAAGGCACAAATTTGCGGTTTACTTTAACGTTAAAGGTCCCAGTTAAACGTCTTTTTAACATAATTTTATTGATGTTGCGCATTTCTAAAGATTTCCTATTAAGATTCCCTACACTCTGCAGTGCTGATTTAAAGCCTGTTGCCGTCACAAAATTCTTGCTTGTGGTTTATTTATTCATATTTAGTTGTTCTTCTAATGTTTCGCTTGATTGTCTGGTTGTTGATGCTTTCATGTCGTGGAAGACATGCGCATTTTTTATCTTATAAAATCATGTTAAATATAATTTACACTGTTACGACCGTGCATCTAATTTTTTCCTGGCCATGATTTATTCCACGATATGATTTATAGTAATGATGCTTGCAGGTACTAATTTGTGGTTGCAGAGCTACTGCATGGGGTTTATAAATATATGACTTAGTGTTACATTTACAGATATGAAAAGTACGTAAAAGGTTTATTATTCAGCTACACATAAGTGACAGTGCTGTCAAACACTCTTTGGCCATTGCAGTGTGTGTGAGAAAGATTTTAAACATTTTTCAGTTTTCTGGGAGTCAGTCTGTTTCTTTTTGTAGAATTCTTGTTGATGTGAATTGCTGAACACAGTTACAATGCAACGGCAAGTGTGCCTATTTCAAAATATTAAAAAAAGACTATAAACTAAAAGAAAGAAGTATTTTGTTCCTATTTATTTGGATTGTCTGCTACGGGAACTCGTTATTTAGGATGACGGAGGTATTAAAACCCATGAAAATAATTATTATAAATTACTGATGGTGAAATTGCATACCATGACTTATCATTGACCATGAGTTGCTTGACTAAGTCCAGACGTGATTAATTCAGAGAAACCTGACTTTAGACTTGATATGAAACTTGATGGTTAGGACTTGTGACTTATTTGTGACGTGTATGTATTTTCCCATATTTGTCTGTGTCACATTCCATTCTTATGTGACACCACCCTTGCTTTTCCTATAATGATTTTTATTTTTCGTCATGTAAGTAATGAAGTTTCTTTTGCTCTAATTAGAAAGTGGGTATTTCAGGTTAATCTATGCATTTTGTATTAATAGGGTCAATTATAAAAAATAAACAAAAAGAAGCAGTCAATGTGTACTTT